TTGATAATCCATGTGAAGACTATCTTATTTAAGGGTCTTTGATAGATCAGTCAGTACAGGTCTTTGATAGATCAGTGTTGTTGGCTTACATAACCCATGTGAAGACTATCTTATTTAAGGGTCTTTGATAGATCAGTCAGTACAGGTCTTTGATAGATCAGTCAGTACAGGTCTTTGATAGATCAGTGTTGTTGCTTACATAACCCATGTGAAGACTATCTTATTTAAGGGTCTTTGATAGATCAGTCAGTACAGGTCTTTGATAGATCAGTCAGTACAGGTCTTTGATAGATCAGTCGGTAGAGTGTTGGCTTACATAACCCATGTGAAGACTATCTTATTTAAGGGTCTTTGATAGATCAGTCAGTACAGGTCTTTGATAGATCAGTCAGTACAGGTCTTTGATAGATCAGTCAGTACAGGTCTTTGATAGATCAGTCAGTAGAGGTCTTTGATAGATCAGTCGGTAGAGTGTTGGCTTACATAACCCATGTGAAGACTATCTTATTTAAGGGTCTTTGATAGATCAGTCAGTACAGGTCTTTGATAGATCAGTCAGTACAGGTCTTTGATAGATCAGTCAGTACAGGTCTTTGAGATCAGTGTGAAGACTATCTTATTTAAGGGTCTTTGATAGATCAGTCAGTACAGGCTTTGACATAACCCATGTGAAGACTATCTTATTTAAGGGTCTTTGATAGATCAGTCAGTACAGGTCTTTGATAGATCAGTCAGTGTTGGCTACCCATGTGAAGACTCTTTGATAGATCAGTCGTAGAGTGTTGGCTTAGTGAAGACTATCTTATTTAAGGGTCTTTGATAGATCAGTCAGTACAGGTCTTTGATAGATCAGTCAGTACAGGTCTTTGATAGATCAGAGTGTTGGCTTACATAACCCATGTGAAGACTATCTTATTTAAGGGTCTTTGATAGATCAGTCAGTACAGGTCTTTGATAGATCAGTCAGTACAGGTCTTTGATAGTGTTGGCTTACATAACCCATGTGAAGACTAGGTCTTTGATCAGTCTTTGTAGATCAGTCAGTCTTTGATGATCAGTCGGTAGAGTGTTGGCTTACATAACCCATGTGAAGACTATCTTATTAAAGGGTCTTTGATAGATCAGTCAGTACAGGTCTTTGATAGATCAGTCAGTACAGGTCTTTGATAGAGTGGTCTTTGATAGATCAGTCAGTACAGGTCTTTGATAGATCAGTACATAACCCATGTGAAGACTATCTTATTTAAGGGTCTTTGATAGATCAGTCAGTACAGGTCTTTGATAGATCTTACATAGATATCTTATTTAAGGGTCTTTGATAGATCAGTCAGTCTTTGATAGATCAGTCAGTACAGGTCTTTGATAGATCAGTCGGTAGAGTGTTGGCTTACATAACCCATGTGAAGACTATCTTATTTAAGGGTCTTTGATAGATCAGTCAGTACAGGTCTTTGATAGATCAGTCAGTACAGGTCTTTCTTTGATAGATCAGTCAGTACAGGTCTTTGATAGATCAGTCGGTAGAGTGTTGGCTTACATAACCCATGTGAAGACTATCTTATTTAAGGGTCTTTGATAGATCAGTCAGTACAGGTCTTTGATAGATCAGTCAGTACAGGTCTTTGATAGATCAGTCGGTAGAGTGTTGGCTTACATAACCCATGTGAAGACTATCTTATTTAAGGGTCTTTGATAGATCAGTCAGTACAGGTCTTTGATAGATCAGTCGGTAGAGTGTTGGCTTACATAACCCATGTGAAGACTATCTTATTTAAGGGTCTTTGATAGATCAGTCAGTACAGGTCTTTGATAGATCAGTCAGTACAGGTCTTTGATAGAGTCGGTAGAGTGTTGGCTTACATAACCCATGTGAAGACTATCTTATTTAAGGGTCTTTGATCTTTGATAGATCAGTCAGTCTTTGATAGATCAGTCATGTGAAGACTATCATTTAAGGGTCTTTGATAGATCAGTCAGTACAGGTCTTTGATAGATCAGTCAGTACAGGTCTTTGATAGATCAGTCAGTACAGGTCTTTGATAGATCAGTCGGTAGAGTGTTGGCTTACATAACCCATGTGAAGACTATCTTATTTAAGGGTCTTTGATAGATCAGTCAGTACAGGTCTTTGATAGATCAGTCAGTAGAGTGTTGGCTTACATAACCCATGTGAAGACTATCTTATTTAAGGGTCTTTGATAGATCAGTCAGTACAGGTCTTTGATAGATCAGTCAGTACAGGTCTTTGATAGATCAGTCGGTAGAGTGTTGGCTTACATAACCCATGTGAAGACTATCTTATTTAAGGGTCTTTGATAGATCAGTCAGTACAGGTCTTTGATAGATCAGTCAGTACAGTCTTTGATAGATCAGTCGGTAGAGTGTTGGCTTACATAACCCATGTGAAGACTATCTTATTTAAGGGTCTTTGATAGATCAGTCAGTACAGGTCTTTGATAGATCAGTCAGTACAGGTCTTTACAGGTCTTTGATAGATCAGTCGGTAGAGTGTTGGCTTACATAACCCATGTGAAGACTATCTTATTTAAGGGTCTTTGATAGATCAGTCAGTACAGGTCTTTGATAGATCAGTCGGTAGAGTGTTGGCTTACATAACCCATGTGAAGACTATCTTATTTAAGGGTCTTTGATAGATCAGTCAGTACAGGTCTTTGATAGATCAGTCAGTACAGGTCTTTGATAGATCAGTCGGTAGAGTGTTGGCTTACATAACCCATGTGAAGACTATCTTTGATAGATCAGTCAGTACAGGTCTTTGATAGATCAGTCAGAGTGTTGGCTTACATAACCCATGTGAAGACTATCTTATTTAAGGGTCTTTGATAGATCAGTCAGTACAGGTCTTTGATAGATCAGTCAGTACAGGTCTTTGATAGATCAGTGTTGTTGGCTTACATAGCCCATGTGAAGACTAACTTATTTAAGGGTCTTTGATAAATCAGTCAGTAGAGGTCTTTGATAGATCAGTCAGTACAGGTCTTTGATAGATCAGTCAGTAGAGTGTTGGCTTACATAACCCATGTGAAGACTATCTTATTTAAGGGTCTTTGATAGATCAGTCAGTACAGGTCTTTGATAGATCAGTCGATAGAGTGTTGGCTTACATAACCCATGTGAAGACTATCTTATTTAAGGGTCTTTGATAGATCAGTCAGTACAGGTCTTTGATAGATCAGTCAGTACAGGTCTTTGATAGATCAGTCGGTAGAGTGTTGGCTTACATAACCCATGTGAAGACTATCTTATTTAAGGGTCTTTGATAGATCAGTCAGTACAGGTCTTTGATAGATCAGTCGGTAGAGTGTTGGCTTACATAACCCATGTGAAGACTATCTTATTTAAGGGTCTTTGATAGATCAGTCAGTACAGGTCTTTGATAGATCAGTCAGTAGAGTGTTGGCTTACATAACCCATGTGAAGACTATCTTATTTAAGGGTCTTTGATAGATCAGTCAGTACAGGTCTTTGATAGATCAGTCAGTACAGGTCTTTGATAGATCAGTCGGTAGAGTGTTGGCTTACATAACCCATGTGAAGACTATCTTATTTAAGGGTCTTTGATAGATCAGTCAGTACAGGTCTTTGATAGATCAGTCAGTACAGGTCTTTGATAGATCAGTCGGTAGAGTGTTGGCTTACATAACCCATGTGAAGACTAACTTATTTAAGGGTCTTTGATAGATCAGTCAGTACAGGTCTTTGATAGATCAGTCAGTACAGGTCTTTGATAGATCAGTCAGTACAGGTCTTTGATAGATCAGTCGGTAGAGTGTTGGCTTACATAACCCATGTGAAGACTATCTTATTTAAGGGTCTTTGATAGATCAGTCAGTACAGGTCTTTGATAGATCAGTCAGTACAGGTCTTTGATAGATCAGTCAGTACAGGTCTTTGATAGATCAGTCGGTAGAGTGTTGGCTTACATAACCCATGTGAAGACTATCTTATTTAAGGGTCTTTGATAGATCAGTCAGTACAGGTCTTTGATAGATCAGTCGGTAGAGTGTTGGCTTACATAACCCATGTGAAGACTATCTTATTTAAGGGTCTTTGATAGATCAGTCAGTACAGGTCTTTGATAGATCAGTCAGTACAGGTCTTTGATAGATCAGTCGGTAGAGTGTTGGCTTACATAACCCATGTGAAGACTATCTTATTTAAGGGTCTTTGATAGATCAGTCAGTACAGGCCTTTGATAGATCAGTCAGTACAGGTCTTTGATAGATCAGTCAGTACAGGTCTTTGATAGATCAGTCAGTACAGGTCTTTGATAGATCAGTCAGTACAGGTCTTTGATAGATCAGTGGTGTTGGCTTACATAACCCATGTGAAGACTATCTTATTTAAGGGTCTTTGATAGATCAGTCAGTACAGGTCTTTGATAGATCAGTCGGTAGACTGTTGGCTTACATAGCCCATGTGAAGACTATCTTATTTAAGGGTCTTTGATAGATCAGTCAGTACAGGTCTTTGATAGATCAGTCAGTACAGGTCTTTGATAGATCAGTTTGTTGGCTTACATAACCCATGTGAAGACTATCTTATTTAAGGGTCTTTGATAGATCAGTCAGTACAGGTCTTTGATAGATCAGTCGGTAGAGTGTTGGCTTACATAACCCATGTGAAGACTATCTTATTTAAGGGTCTTTGATAGATCAGTCAGTACAGGTCTTTGATAGATCAGTCAGTAGAATGTTGGCTTACATATCCCATGTGAAGATCAGACCAGTGTTTTTGGACTTTGTTGGTGGCTTGTAATCTTGAGAAGCTGAGAAACTGACCAGTCTGTGAAGGGCAAAAGAACACTTAACCCTACATACATGACATGCAGTTGGCCTCGTGTATGTTGTTCAGTAAGGTAGCCATTAGCTAATACAAGAAGACCTTGCATCAAAATGAACCCTGGCTATAATAAACCAAGCTTTCAAGGCTTTTGGGGACGGTAAGTTTTTGAAGAGCCATCAAAAGACAACCACAGCTGAAGTTGATAACTATTTATTGCATCCAATGTTATATGTCAAAAAGGACAGTAATGGGCCTGTGCACTTGTCCACTCGCATACATACTCACCACAACACTGTAACACTTCTCACAATCAAACTAGCATTATGTCCATTAGGACCCATCAACAATACTTAAGTAAAAACATGATTTACCTAGTGACCACAGTATTGAAAGTTTTTTTGATGGCAAAAAATTTTTCATCCATTACTGAAAGAGTTGTCTCCCTTTACAAATTTTGTAGACAATCTCTTCCTGTGGAAAAGATAAGGACAATATATCCAGCATTTCAGCATGAAATAGAAATGATATTTATCAATTAAAATAGCTTTCATTTACAAACATCACTGGTCACTACACAGAAATTCAGGTCACTTCACTTATACACAGTATTCAAGCTAATACCGCACAAAAAATATATAGATATGGCAACCGGTCACATGATACATGATTGTAGAATCACCAATAACAAACATGTTATACCAATAACAGATACCAACAGAAACTGACCATCATCACCTTTGACCAATCAACTGACCTGTGATATGCATACCTGGTATCTATGAAAAGTAATATTCAAGTATTATTGTAGTGCATCTCGATGAAAAGAAAAAAAAAAATAATAATAATAAAAAGCGATCCAACAAACAGACTAAATTAAACAATTTTGCATCATGTTATCAGATAAAAAGGATTGGGGTATGGTACATTTATAAAAATCAGACAATATCAAATAATCCACATACACTTAAAATAACAGTAATCCTGAACCATCACCACATGTATTCAAATTAACATATTATCATGTAATTAGAATATATTAGATTTAAATATGACTAACTGGGAGGGTCAACACTTTTAACTGTGATTTTGTATTTTTTTCCAATGACTACAATTTTTAGCGATTTTACTACTAGCTTGAAGCCAAAAAAGGATATATTTTCAACATAAACCATGCTACAGACTTAGTTTTCTTTCAAAAGGAAATTATTTTTTGACAGGAGTCATGAAACAAGCTACGGCGGTTTTTTATAGAAATTCTTTTCTTAAGATATGTTTCAAAATTTTATTTCCTTCTTGAAAATAGTGTAAAAAGGAAACTATCAAAAGTAAGAAAATTTACTACAGTAATTGCTTTATCACCAGGGCTAGGCTTAAATCAGGCAGGGGAGGGGAAAGAGTGTGTTGGGGCACTTGGCTGGGGAAGTAAGGCAGGAGAGGAAGGGGGAGGAGAAAGGGTGGATGGGGTGGGGCACCTGGCTGGAGAAATTAGGCAGGGGAGGGGGGTAGGGAGGGGAGGGTGGAGGGGCACCTGGTAGCAAGGGAAGAAGACACAGGATATCAACTATAAAATACAATCACCATTTTATGAAATATTTTTAGTTTATGAACCTTAGTAGTGTGCATAACATATTATTGTAATGTGATATTCTCCAATAGCAATACAGTAGAACCTGTTGAGAAATAATCAACTACAAAGTTTGACTATTTAGAAAAATACACATAGGTTATAAAAGGAAAAGAAAATCCCTGAAGCCAGATAACGATATTTCTCTTCCGAATCATGATTAAGGCACACTAAAAGTTCTCGTGCTAATTATAAGTTAAAATGAAGTGTAGAATATTTAAATACATGGTGCTAATTAATTTGTAGGTTTTGACTAATAATAGAATTGTCGTGGAGATCTGTTCATGAGTATTTATATATTACATCAAATTCTGGATGTTTCTGTTAAAAATAAATGCATTAAAACACCAAATGATCTAGACGACAAACGTCGTGTGATGTTAACAACAAAAACTAAAATGGGAGGTAACTTGGTTAGTTGTATTGGCACAATCATATTGCTTAAAAAAAATTCACACCACACAACACTCGGATAACTATCTATAAAGATATAAAACAATATCATCAAAGTCTTGACAATCTCAGTAAGGAAAATAAAGTATGTAACAAAATGTTCAACTAAAATATGACTATTGGAAAAACTGTTTAAATATGGTTGTTGTGGATTGATGTAGGACTTTTGGGCTAAAAACAAGGGGGGCCTTAGTCATCATTAATGGATAAATAACATGGTAATTTTGTGTGCAGACAAAAGTCTAGATCTGAGTCTACTGTAATCTACAGTCTAGATCTGAGTCTGTACTGTAGTCTACAGTCTAGATCTGAGTCTGTACTGAAGTCTACGGTCTAGATACGAGTCTGTACTGTAGTCTACGGTCTAGATCCGTGTCTGTACTGTAGTCTACGGTCTAGATCCGAGTCTGTACTGTAGTCTACAGTCTAGATCTGAGTCTGTACTGTAGTCTACAGTCTAGATCTCAATCTGTACTACAATCTTTGGTCTAGTTCTTAGTCTGTACTGTAGTCTACGGTCTAGATCCGAGTCTGTACTGTAGTCTACGGTCTAGACCCGAGTCTGTACTGTAGTCTACAGTCTAGATCCGAGTCTGTACTGTAGTCTACGGTCTAGATCCGAGTCTGTACTGTAGTCTACGATCTAGATTCGAGTCTGTACTGTACTCTACGGTCTAGATCTGAGTCTGTACTGTAGTCTACAGACTAGATCTCAATCTGTACTACAATCTTTGGTCTAGTTCTTAGTCTGTACTGTAGTCTACGGTCTTGACCCGAGTCTGTACTGTAGTCTACGGTCTAGATCCGAGTCTGTACTGTAGTCTACGGTCTAGATCCGAGTCTGTACTGTACTCTACGGTCTAGATCCGAGTCTGTACTGTAGTCTACGGTCTAGATCCGAGTCTGTACTGTACTCTACGGTCTAGATCCGAGTCTGTACTGTACTCTACGGTCTAGATCCGAGTCTGTACTGTACTCTACGGTCTAGATCCGAGTCTGTACTGTACTCTACGGTCTAGATCCGAGTCTGTACTGTAATCTACGGTCTAGATCCGAGTCTGTACTGTAGTCTACGGTCTAGATCTTAGTCTGTACTGTAGTCTACAGTCTAGATCTGAGTCTGTTGTACACCATCAACAATCCATACTATTGCTAGTAGTTCTGACCTAAGTCCATATTCACCATTACATTCAAGAATTATTTTAATTTTATGATATAATGATACAAAACTTTTACAGATCAAATGGTACATTTCTATGAAGCATTTTGACAATCTTCAATAAATCTTAAGTACTAGACATTTGAGCTTAATGATACTGAGATCCACACTGTTCAAAAGTTGGAAAACAATCCTTGGAAATCTAAACTGTATTTATGGATGATTCTCTGTCAATCTATAGAGCAAAAGCAGCAAAATGCGATTGGGAAAGATTGTCCGATACTTGAAATGGTCAAATGTACAATCAGATCTCCAACTGGGATTAAACTCCGAGGTAATGATTCACAGTCAATGCGTAGATTGTGTAATAAGTACCTTTTAACTAATCTATAACTCCTGTCTCACAGAGGTCACACTTCACAGTAAGTCAATAAATATAATCACAATGGCATCACGTAATCACAGCATACTGTACATACAATTTGAGAATACACTGTACATGCAACTGTACATCATATAAATATATATATATATTATGGATACAAAATGGAATTTGGCAAAGCCAATGCACATATACTTTTGACATTGTTATAAGGCTTATTTCACACACACAAAAAAAAAGCATCTATCAAAAAAAAGATTACTTGAGTAATCTCCCTTGATACATAATAATATTATATACAACAAAGAGCAACATGACATCTTAACATCATGGCTGCTTCCATTTATCAGAAAAAAAAACAGTTTGTCAATATTGTAACTGTAGCATTACAAATTGTTAGACTTAAAAATCAACAGGCTTAGTTGAGGTCCATCAAAAAGTGAAATTCAGGCGTTTCCTTATTGCAGAAACAACCCTTGTCCAACTAGTCTGATAAACGAAAGCATCCGATGACACTCGAGTAACAACTCCTCGAAGTTTACAGTTGCACAATACGTGTTACGCATGAGCGATCACATAAAGCAAATCATTACAGAAATTCTTTGGAAAATCGCTCCTTCTAAAGCTTTTCACACAAATCTGGACAAAATCTTGATTTTGTGTCAAAATGACCTTCATTCCCATACATTGCAAAAAAAAATGTCTTCAGATTTTTGTACACTGATATCTATTTACTATTATCTCTAAAACCTGAAACGATTGTCTTCTACATGAAAAACTCATTCAAACATTTGATTGATAGTTTTTTATGGCAATATTTGGCAGAAAACCTCACATGAAAAAAAAAAAAGTGCAGCCATGCAACTAGGAATGGAAACCTCGAGTACAGGTTTTTTGTCACAGGTTAGAGGTGAGGATTGAAAAATGAATCAAGCACACACTTATACACTACAATTTAACAGAGACATACCTATAGGATATAATACCACTCTATAATAAGACTTTGGAATAAAAATATTTTTGGTAAACAATGAGTTTGATGAATGTTTAAATTGTGTAATGACAATGTGAAGATTAATGTTTGAATCTTATGTATAACAATACTGGTAGGTTACAAATGGCACGATGTAGTGCTCACTGCTTTAATTTTTTGCAGATCTGAATATTGCCAAGGAATTTCCCTTGGTAACAGTGACTTTGACAATGAGTTTTTTGTAATTTCTTCTTGTAATGTTACCTGACAATTAAAACAATTAAGCAATGATAGTAAAACCAACAATATACATTAACATTAGTAAGAAAAAAACCAAACAATGACAACCACTTTATCAGCGAAAAAAACAAAAATATGATTACATTATTGAAGCTGTTCGACATGAGCAATTTAAACAAATAAAACAGGACAATATGACAAGAAAATAAATAAAGTCACACGATCACAGTTTTGGAATATATTGAGTATTTGTCTTTTTCACACCTCGGTACGATCCTGGTCGGCCATTTTTTGTTTATCTGAAAGGAAGAGTACACTGGTGGTGCCATCCCGTGACACCACAGTCAAAGTATTGGTCGGTGTAGAGGGTGGTGATGAGTGTTTGTGGCGCCGCCGAATGAAAACAATGAGAAGAATGACACAGATGAGCAACAGTAGACAGATACCCACTAGAATATACATGATGGAGGGTGTATCACGACCATTCTCAGACACCTCGTACGATCCCAGGGCACTATCCCCCTGGGGCAGTTCACTAAAAACAATCTGCACCATGTTTGTGCCTTTTGATGGAGTCTCTGTCCGCTTTGAACGACCTCCAACCTCCTTAGTAATGGAATGATATGTAGCACTTCGCTTCTGTATGGAACTCTGGCTGGAACCCAAGGAGAAGACTGCGTGGAGAAACCACATCCTTCCTGGGTCCACCTGTCACATTAAAGTATAATACTTTAGTTACAAAACCCATCACCTGTTTAATGACAATTTGTTCTGGATTTCTTAAGAATTATTTCCCTTGTGTAACACTCTCGCACAATGTATTTTATCCTGTATCAGTCCTATCTATCGGAGTCAATTTTCACTATCACCATTATTCTAGCATTAGTTTAAGAAAAGATAAAGAAATGAATGAAATGGTAAGTAACACAAAAGCAAACCTTTGATTCTACAATATATTGGTGATGAGAAGAAGATTTTTGATATTTTAGTCAATTTGACTTCTTTTGGCCCCTGCCCATCAGCCCCTAGGGGGTCAGTCAAGATCAAAATGGGCATCATCCTTCACTCATAATTCTAACCAAGTTTGAAATACTTTCAATGGAAATTATACAAATTATGCTCAAAAATCTAGTTTTCCCATATAAACTATAGTAAACTTTTTACCCCTCCCCATAGGGAAATGTGAGACCCTTGGGGCATGAAATTCACAATTTTGGTAAAACACCTTTAGATGCTTCCATTCATGAACAGTATTTGATTCTACCATATCTGGGTCTTGAGAAGAAGATTTTTGAAATCCAAGTCAATATGACCCCTTTTGGCCCCTAGGGGGTGAGGACTGTATAATTCACAATTTTGGTTCATCTCGGGCCAAGGAAGGTTTCTGCAAAATTTTGGCGAAATCAGAACAGGGGTTTTTGAGAAGTCAAAAATGTTTAATTGTTAACAGACTCACAATGTTTGATGCTGGATGAAGGTGATTAGAACAGGTCACAATGAGACCATGAGACCTAAAAATCTTGTCACAAGGACAACATATGACAAATATAAAAGCCCTACCTCTTATAGTGCAAAAGTTATGGGCAAGGTTAAAGTTGACAACAGACAAACAATATGCCCCTGATCTTTTAATCCGGAGGCATTAAAAGGAATATTTCTTTTTGGCTCCACCGTTACCTATTTTGTTATATGACTTTGCAGGAACAGAAGCAGAATGAAACAGGAGTTTACTACACTATAAATAGACAAATGAAGATCCCTAATGATAAATAGAAACATGGAAATCCCTACACTATAAATAGACAAATGAAGATCCCTAATGATAAATAGAAACATGGAAATCCCTACACTATAAATAGACAAATGGAGGTCCCCACAATGTAATAGACAAACCTGAAAGAGAGGTTTCGTGTCAACAGAGAAGCCATCTGCTCCGGGCTGTTGGAGGAGATCCCTGGCACTTGGGTCATTCCTGGCCATCCTTGCATTGAATGGAATGCCATCGAAGCTTTCCTCAACTGTGTGTGGATCCCTGAGGTCCTGTAAAGGGCAAGATCATGTCAAGGTTACCTAATGATATTCAGTTGAATTTGAATTAACTAGGATCTTAAAAAACGATATAAGACTTGACTAAGTCATCTTAAGAAAATCAAGAACAATGTCACAGTATTTATATGTACCAGTTACAGTGTTGTATTACCTACTAGGAATCTCCCTCACTTTATATCTCTGTTTAATTCTTAAAAACAATTTTACTTTTAAAAAGTTTCTTCAGCATAACTTTCAGTCAGATTATACTCTTAATATAAATTGCCTATTTCTGAAATAGAGATCACTATTGTAAGGAGACCCGTGTTAAGAGACCATCTCTATGAAGTTTCTAAACAACTGAGCCTACAATTGGAGAGAACTTTAAGGATGTTGTGTATGAAGATGGTCTGGAAAATTATCTGAAAAAAGCTCTGCTTCATGAATGTAACTAATAACAAAAGATTTTTTTTATTTGTTTACAGTAACATGTAATTCATAATCAAGTTTGTACAAAAGTTTCTGAACAGTTGGATATCTTGTTGACTAAATTCATACCTACCAAAATTTTGAACCTGTGCTCCAGGTTTTTGGATTCCCCTACACAACCATACTCGCCCTGAGTTGGGGCATACTTTGGGATGTAACCATCTTTGCCAGAGCACACAAAGATTTTTTCCAGACCGAGATCAAACTCTGACCCCAAGGTCTGGACAGGATCAACATCTAGTCGGCCATATATTGTATCTCCTGGAAGTGTAATTATATCATCATTAGTCAATCATTCTAACATCCACAAACATTTATAAAAAATTTCAGTTTAACACCCTTCTGCCACAGTTTATTGGTCAGATCAACCTCTCTTATCTGACACCAAGAGAGACTCGGTATACTGGTGGGATTAACCTGTCTTATCTGTCACCCTGTTAGACCTAGTATATTGGTGGGATTAACCTGTCTTATCTGTTACCCTGTGAGACCCAGTATATTGGTGGGATTAACCTGTCTTATCTGTCACCCTGTGAGACCCAGTACACTGGTGAGATTAACCTGTCTTATCTGTCACCATGTGAGACCCAGTACACTGGTGAGATCAACCTGTCTTATCTTTCACCCTGTGAGACACAGTATACTTGTGAGATTAACCTGTCTGAACTGTTACCCTGTGAGACACAACATACAGGTGAGATCAACCTGTCTTATCTGTCACCCTGTGAGACCCAGTACACTGGTGAGATCAACCTGTCTTATTTGTCACCCTGTGAGACCCAGTACACTGGTGAGATCAACCGGTCTTATCTGTCACCCTGTGAGACCCAGTACACTGTTGAGATCAACCTGTCTTAACTGCCTCCCTGTAAGACACAACCTATTGGTTAGCATGTAGGTTGTCTTATTACAGAAATTGTCTACAATAGGAAAATGTTGGATTTTTCAGAGATCAGATTGGACATGTATCTCAGTACATCTCTAATATATCTCAAGGACTCGGAAAATTAAAGATATTTCAAAAACTAGAATCCAATGGCATTTTAACTACTGGCTAGTACCAGTCTGAGCTATACCTGGTGAGAAGGTTACGCTGGACTTGTCCCCCAGGGTAGGAGTATCAGGTGACAACCACAATGAACGTTTGTTGAAGAGGCGAAAATCAGTGTTGAGTGAGTACTGTGAAGGAACAGGATCACTGGTCTGCTGAAATCTGATTGGAAGGTCAAAGGTGATAGGGTCAGTGGGGTTACAGACAGGAGGAAGTGTATAGGGCTGTGAGACAGCAGCTGTGCAGGGAATCAGAGCAATGTGGTAGAGTCCGGAATAGTCCTTCACCTGTAAATAAACCACAAACATGCTAGTGACAGTGATGGTGATAAAGAAATTTTGAAATATTTCTAGGTCCAAGAAATGTTTTGTTTAATATTCCACTTCACTTTGAATATATTAGACCTTCTTATAGTCTTACTATAAATATCTTATGTATGGTTGATTCTGATTGGATGATCCTACAGTCCTTATGATACTGGCAATTATATTGAAATTAAACATGTTTTTGAATGTGTTTTTAATTTTCCAGTAAACCTATAGTTCAGAATTCTGAGTGTGAGAAATGCAAAACAGTGATTAAAGGCAGTGAAATTCAGCAAAACATCCAACAGAAAGAAGATAAAGTGACAAAAGTTTGAACACCAGAAAGATTGGTGAGGAATATCAGTGCTACAGTGTGTCCACACCATGTGTCAGAGACTTACCGCAAAGTCAGATTCAAACTGCCACAGCTGATCAGGCTGGTCAAAGGTTGGATCACTTCTGACCAGAGTCAAAGTGAACGTCATATCTGGATGATCAGGTGAGGTAACCATGGATACAACACCTGTACCTAAAAAAAGAAATTATCAAATAATTGAAAAAACAATTTCATTACATTTAAAGTGTACTAAGAAATATGCAAACATCAATCATCGAATGAAATTTAGACAGACAAGAAAATTGTTCTGTATCTGAATTGGAAAAGCTTTCCAACACCTGTGAATTGATATTCATGCAAGTTAGGAGAGATTTTGTACCCTTTGGTATTACCGGGCACTGTGTAATTTGCCATACCTGAGTTTCTGGGAACAAACTGGCCTCTGAATTTGGGCATTGTTCTAATTGTCACAAGAAGTCGTTTATCATCTTGGATGCGTAGACTGGTAGGGTACAAGGATCCTGGAATTATTAGTTATCAGTTATTAATTTTAGCAGTTGACCTGCATGATCTGAAACATTGCTTTCTGGGAAGCAACTAGAATTTTCCAATACTTTGTCAAGTTTTTACCCATGTAAATACTTTTATGTATGTTTTAAAGCATTGCTGACATAACTTTGCATTAATCACTGGGTTGACATTTGGTGTAGGGCTATTCTTAAATCACTTACCTCCAAATTTTGACTTGGTTGCTGTGCTGATACCATTTTGCCACAAGATGGCAGTGTCATAGACAAAACTAAGTTCAAGGTCAGTCTGCATGTTGACCGCTGTCCAACCTCCCGCCTCTGCATGGAAAATGTAGGACACGTACAATGGAACAAACATGGTCACCCGTGACTGCTTCAAGTTGATTGGCTGAAGGAAAAAGAGAAGTATGTTCATGGACTTAAAGATCATGACAAGGGTAGACAACTAATGATAGATTTCATCTGACTTCAATCCTCAAACTTTATTCAGAATGGCACAGTCTGGCTGTTTACTGATGGCAAGGTGGCAGGCATGTACTGATTAGGAAAAAGTAGTCTGGTTCTGAGAGGCAGACAATATGCCTTACTTAAAATGCAACATGGCAACCACCAATGAGCAGCAGATCAGTGTATCGGAATATAGTGCATCCTCAGTTTCTGGTATTGACTATGATAATTGTATATGTAGGCTTTCCTATCACAGCGTTAGTCATATTCCAAAATTAGTTTACAGGTAATAATAAAACTAAAGGTCAAATTTCATTTCAATATCCCAGCTCTAGGAAAATAAATGTAAAACAGATATTTTCTTGAAATAATTTGAGTTTCACTCTGGAAAATAAGGTTGGCCAGTACCAAATATGAGTACGACAAACCTGTCCATCTGTTGAGATTTGCCCTCCACACACTGACACAAGCTCGGACATGTCAAAGTAGCCATCAAATTCCCACAGACAAGATTCCAGGTCTAGGTTCCTACAAGTTGAAACACCATAATCATTCTCTGTTACAAACACATGGCATTGCCATTGCACCCTTCGGCCGGGTGAGCTAAAAATGTTTTTGTAACTTCAGAAGTAAATTATAAGCCATTTAATTCTTCAGTCAAAGGAAACAATTCATGTTGTCAGAAACTGGACAGAGATTTGAAGGAAAAATTTGGGATATACCAAATAGATCATTTTGGAGGGCTGACAGGTATAAAGTTGGATTAATGACTCATCATGGTCTGTATCCTGACTTACCTGTAAAACCTCAGTGTTGAATCACCCCTAAGACTTGAGCTAAACTGGTAAGGTTCTAGTCCTAAAGAGTTACGGTTCCTAGTGCTATTGGAAACAAAGCCAAATCCAGAGGTCACCTGAAGGTCACTAATGTCTAGCAGGTTAGAACACTTGTGCTGGGCAACACGCAGTGCATTATGAGTAAGTATGAAGTCAAAATTTGAAAGCTGGTGTGTAGACAACACAGGAAGTAATCCATCATGGTGGGGAATTGTTATCGTCACTCGCACCATGTTAGGATGGGCTGGGTCGTTGGCACCTGTCAACAAAAAAACCAAATTCATCCGAAAATAATTTTCATACACCAGCTTAGATCCTCAAAGTAGCCATCTCATATGAAAGGAAATACTTGGATTACAAATACTCTCCACAAAGATATACAGCCTACTGCCATTGTATCCTTCCTATTCTCTCGTCACAAAATCTTGTAATTTTTTATTGGATCTGCTTCAAGCTATGACATCATGGATAAACTTTACCATATGATGTTTAAGCAATGTTCTCATTAACATCATTTCTCACATTCCTTTAACAACCAAAGTTTGCTAGATGTATTTAGAATACTGTTTTTCTGTATAAGACTTTTTATTTTTACCTAGATATCTGAGACTGCTGCTGAATGGTTCAGATCCAATAGACGCCGGATTCCTTGGGGGACAGATTCCCTCGTCTGTGCTTATAGTGACCGGAACACTCCCAATTTCCCTTCCAGGATCACCATCAAAATTGACCGCACGGGCAAGACACTGGACTTTACTTCCTGAGGGTAAATGTACAGTAAAACCTTGATGTAACATCATTCATTCATTCAAACTTCAGTTTAGGTAATGATGTTCCTCTTTTTATTACCATAAATATTCGCGTATAGTGCGCACTCCCGTATAGTGCGCAGGTACTTTTTGGAGATCAGATTTAAAAAAAAAAAAATCTAAATTGACTGGTCACATAATTAAAATTCCTCTCCATAATGTCATCCCCTTTATCATGATGAAAGTTTAAATGATCAAATTAGTTTTGTTAGAACTGACCTCTATTGAAGTAGATGCTGTCCAGAGTTATCCCCCTGGTGGAAGCAAAGAATGTTGATGCATCCAGCTCTCTGAGAGGCTTCGTAACACCATCAGGGCCACTAGGGGGAGCCACTCTCCAGTGGAACTTGGTGAGAGTATCGTTAATTTCCTGTGTCTGACAAAGTGTTCCTGTGGATGCGGCAAAATCCGGGTGATTGGGGTTGCAGGGCTGTGGAGAAAAATATATATTTTCATATACAAAACTGTGATATTCCATAAGTGACTACTCTTGAATTTTTTAATAAGACATAATGAATTTTAAGCAAACTTTGATGATTCCTTAACATGAAGTTTTCCACAGATGGTTATTTCCAAGTTTCCACTTACAGATATTTCTCCACGCTTCAGTGCATCAAACCAATCAGATACCTACATAACAGGTCCTAAAAGCATTGTATGGGGAGAAAGTGGGCTCTGATATGTAACCTGTAAAATAGACCTGTGTTGTATGGGGAGAAGGTGGGTTCTGATATGTAACCTGTAAAATAGACCTGTGTTGTATGGGTACAAGGTGAGCTCTTGTATGAAACCTGTAAAATAGACCTGTGTTGTATGGGGAGAAGGTTGGCTCTGATATGTAACCTGTAAAATAGACCTGTGTTGTATGGGGAGAAGGTGGGCTCTGATATGTAACCTGTAAAATAGACCTGTGTTGTATGGGGAGAAGGTGGGCTCTGATATGTAACCTGTAAAATAGACCTGTGTTGTATGGGGAGAAGGTGGGCTCTGATATGTAACCTGTAAAATAGACCTGTGTTGTATGGGGAGAAGGTGGGCTCTGATATGTAACCTGTAAAATAGACCTGTGTTGTATGGGGAGAAGGTGGGCTCTGATATGTAAAATGTAAAATAGACCTGTGTTGTATGGGGAGAAGGTGGGCTCTGATATGTAACTTGTAAAATAGACCTGTGTTGTATGGGGAGAAGGTGGGCTCTGATATGTAACCTGTAAAATAGACCTGTGTTGTATGGGGAGAAGGTGGGCTCTGATATGTAACCTGTAAAATAGACCTGTGTTGTATGGGGAGAAGGTGGGCTCTGATATGTAACCTGTAAAATAGACCTGTGTTGTATGGGGAGAAGGTGGGCTCTGATATGTAACTTGTAAAATAGACCTGTGATGTATGGGGAGAAGGTGTCTTATAACCTGTAAAATAGACCTGTGTTGTATGGGGAGGGTGGGCTCCTGTAAAATAGACCTATGTATGGGGAGAAGGTAACCCTGTAACTTGTAAAATAGACCTGTGATGTATGGGGAGAAGGTGGGCTCTGATATGTAACTTGTAAAATAGACCTATGATGTATGGGGAGAAGGTGTGCTCTTGTATGTAACCTGTAAAATAGACCTATGATGTATGGGGAGAAGGTGTGCTCTGGTATGTAACCTGTAAAATAGACCTATGATGTATGGGGAGAAGGTGTGCTCTTGTATGTAACCTGTAAAATAGACCTATGATGTATGGGGAGAAGGTGTGCTCTGATATGAAACCTGTAAAATAGACCTGTGTTGTATGAGTACAAGGTGGGCTCTGATATGTAACTTGTAAAATAGACCTGTGTTGTATGGGGAGAAGGTTGGGCTCTTGTATAAAACAGGCCTATTAAACTTTACTCACTGTTATACAGATGACCGGGTATCCATGTACAGGGTTGTCACGGTTACCGAGGGGATCATCGTAATCCCTCAGGGAAACAACAATGGGGCGAGAAGGAAAAACAACATCCATGATCTTCTTATTCTCTTCCACATAAACCATTGTCCTTTCATTCCTCTGTAAGGAAAATGTACATAAATGTTTAATGTAATAAACATCTCGAACACTCACTGGTTTGTGGAATTAAAACAAAGGCATGTCTTCCAGAAGATGAAAGGGACCTCACATATTATTTATCAGAAGATAAAAGTGGTAGACAGGTGGTCAGTTATTACCATCAAATTGCCTCACAAATCACTCAAGAGTTACTTCCCCTGAAAATTTGAATACTGACCCTGACTTCAGCCACCATATTGTGGTTGCCACGTAGATGTACGGTAAACACTTCTCTATTCTCTTTCATATCATCATAGAGAATCTCCACCTCCACTTCCAATCGCGAAACACCTTCTTCAAATAACAGCACTGCAGAAATGAAATATTTGGTTGTTAAAATAAAAAATCAGTGTTGAATAAAAAAAAATATGGATGTGAAAATAATTTACACTGAAGTGAAAGACATGCATAAATTTCCTCACTTTAAACACTGCATTAAATAGGGGTAATCTTGTATGTTTCATTCACTGTACATGTCTTATTTCCTAAAACACCACTACTTTGGAAAGATATAAAGTTCAGTCGTGTACCAGGCTTAAAATAAACTCGAGATAATGTCTATCATCAAGATAATCAGGATTTGCTTTCATTTTATAGACCTGTATTGACTATCAAGTCTTTGATCTATAGACCTGTATTGACTATCAAGTCTTTGATTGGATGTCTATCTATAGACCTGTATTGACTATCAAGTCTTTGATTGGATGTCTATCTATAGACCTGTATTGACTATCAAGTCTTTGATTGGATGTCTATCTATAGACCTGTATTGACTATCAAGTCTTTGATTGGATGTCTATCTATAGACCTGTATTGACTATCAAGTCTTTGATTGGATCCCTATCTATAGACCTGTATTGACTATCAAGTCCTTGATTGGATGTCTATCTATAGACCTGTATTGACTATCAAGTCTTTGATTGGATGTCTATCTATAGACCTGTATTGACTATCAAGTCTTTGATTGGATCTATCTATAGACCTGTATTGACTATCAAGTCCTTGATTGGATGTCTATCTATAGACCTGTATTGACTATCAAGTCTTTGATTGGATGTCTATCTATAGACCTGTATTGACTATCAAGTCTTTGATTGGATGTCTATCTATAGACCTGTATTGACTATCAAGTCTTTGATTGGATGTCTATCTATAGACCTGTATTGACTATCAAGTCTTTGTTTGGATGTCTATCTATAGACCTGTATTGACTATCAAGTCTTTGATTGGATGTCTATTTATAGACCTGTATCGACTATCAAGTCTTTGTTTGGATATCTATCAAACTAACCAACCTTAATCAACTATCCAAAATAGTCTTATAGACAAAGTTGTACTATATTTCAACAATAACATTACACTGTACAGATACTGGGTTGATTCATACACACAGTTTGCCATTCAATAACAAAAAACAGAACATCCAATTTTAGCTAAATCTAAGCCAAATGGAGCCGTTCCTTGTGTCTTGTTTTCAAATGATGACCAGTTACATAGAAACATATGACATACATCTAGAGAAACCATTATAGTCCTGTCCAGCCCTTGCTGACCCATCTTTGGTAAACACTGTGACTTCTGATCTCTCTGAGAGGTCACCAGACCTAACCACAGGAATGGTCAGTCTAGATATATCCTCTTTGAAGATTGGTTCATTAACAACGAAATGATCCTCTGCAAACTGGATCTGAGGCTCTGAAAGACAGAAAACAAAAAGTATGTAAAGATTGTAACATTGTAGATGAATCAAGAAATCATAGATACTGTTATGCTTGCTTACGTTAAGTTTGATACTTTGGACTGACATTGTTTATTTATGAAAGCAGAAGACACTTGCTCTTCTGGAATACCTGGTCTTATTCACCGTGCATTTCTTCAGGAGTCTCTGTGTAAATCTTTCTTTTGTTCATATTTTGTAATTGCCCTAGTTTTATTAAATTCGAATTTAGATTATTATTATGTTCACAAGCTGGTATTTTCTGTTTGTACTTGTACCAAGAAATAAATCTGAGGCTATCTGTGAAGTTTCAAGGAAACAAATGTGTGAGTAAAGCTGTCAGGCTACCAGGAAGTAAATGTGAGTTAATATGTAAGTCTGTCTGTGAGGAAATAACTTGGTGAAGAGTGTATCTCCTACTTACTATCACTGGCATCTGTAATCTTTATAATAGTACTGTTCTGGACACCTATATTAGCTCCACCTGCTGTAACACTGTCTGGGCTGCCAAGGACAAGTCGGAACTCTTCTGTCACTTCAAATTTATTGTCATCCACAATATTGACCACACACTGCTTTTCTCTCTCACCTGACGATATACAGGTAAGTAAACATTGTAAGGAGGTGGAAATATACAGGTAAGTAAACATTGTAAGGAAGTGGAAATATACAGGTAAGTAAACATTGTAAGGAAGTGGAAATATACAGGTAAGTAAACATTGTAAGGAGGTGGAAATATACAGGTAAGTAAACATTGTAAGGAAGTGGAAATATACAGGTAAGTAAACATTGTAAGGAGGTGGAAATATACAGGTAAGTAAACATTGTAAGGAGGTGGAAATATACAGGTAAGTAAACACTGTAAGGAGGTGGAAATATACAGGTAAGTAAACATTGTAAGGAGGTGGAAATATACAGGTAAGTAAACATTGTAAGGAGGTGGAAATATACAGGTAAGTAAACATTGTAAGGAAGTGGAAATATACAGGTAAGTAAACATTGTAAGGAGGTGGAAATATACAGGTAAGTAAACATTGTAAGGAGGTGGAAATATACAGGTAAGTAAACATTGTAAGGAGGTGGAAATATACAGGTAAGTAAACATTGTAAGGAGGTGGAAATATACAGGTAAGTAAACATTGTAAATATACAGGAGGTGGAAATATACAGGTAAGTAAACATTGTAAGGAGGTGGAAATATACAGGTAAGTAAACATTGTAAGGAGGTGGAAATATACAGGTAAGTAAACATTGTAAGGAGGTGGAAATATACAGGTAAGTAAACATTGTAAGGAGGTGGAAATATACAGGTAAGTAAACATTGTAAGGAGGTGGAAATATACCAATAAAGTTATATCATTTCGTAGTTATGATTCTTGCTGACTTTAATGCAAATTCAAAGGGGTCCAATGTTAATACGGAAGGAAACTGGAGTATCTTGGAGAAAGCTTGTGTAGGTTTACCCATATTTTTCAGGATAGACAGGGAACCAAACTCCAGACCCCTGTGAAACCACATAATGGTTATGATATAGATGGAAAACTTCCAAACTATAGTTTACAATTTGAGTGTTACTTTACACAGGAAGGACAAAAACACTAGACCTTTAATGGGTCAGTATAGAAATCTGCATTACCTGCTCTGAAGATGACCAGTGAAGCATCAGTGTCTGGCCGCTCTACAAAGTCTAGACTGACCTCGGCAGACCCCTGTCTAGTGTAACAGCGAACACTTGACCCATGGCTGATATCTCCATGGCGGACAATAACAGCAGTGACTCTTTTCTCCTCTTCACTGCCAAAGTACTGCACCGCTTTAAACTGCATGGAGGGGCCTGAAACGCATTGTATATATATTGCACATGATACAGCTGTCCAGAATTAATGTCAAAAGACAGACAGATGGACAGGCAGACGGACGGACAGACGGACAAAATGAAGGAAGGAAAGACGGATGGAGGGATTGACAGACAGACAGACAGACAATCTGATTAAAATAGGGCACTGGATCTCGATGCAGGGCCCTTATAAACGTTTGTTTATCATTATCATTTAATCACATCAGACAGGAAGAAAATGTTTCCAGACAAGTGTATCCTCTGATAATTTTCTCCTACAATAAAAATCAAATTTATTTAATAAACTCTGAATAATCACTTTGTTGTTGTTGTTTCAAAGCGATGAAAATTTGAATTCACTTAAAGATTCCATTGGCTGTGATTTAGGATGTAGATGAATTTTAAAGCTTACTAAATTACTTACGATCTGACTGGGAGTCGTCAATGGTCATGGAAGCTGTACTTGGTGACCCCAGACTAGCACCCATCGGCATTCTCAGTACAAGTAGGAAGGACTCTGGACCCTCTAAAGTTGGTCCACCAAGGTCATCTAGAATGTGAATTCCGAGTGTGTTCATCGAAACCCCTGGTGCGAAGTCTAGGATTTTATTCACAGCTCTGTAGTCAAAGCCAGCTACAACAAAGAAATTTGCATTAAATTATTACGGAAAATGTTGAAACAGTTGGTTCTTTACATTGTGAATAAAGAAATGACCTTTTTTTCAAATTGAGTGTGCCTCTGGTGAACGCAGTGGAAAATGAAATTCTTATATACAGATTAACTGTCTTTCTATTTAATTGCAAAATACAATAAAAGAAAAGAATAAATGAAGATGAGATTGAAAGTATTCTCCTTAGTTATGAAAACCTTAAAAAATTTCTCCAACTTGTTTCGTAAAAGGAAACTCCAGTAAAAATCTATGTTTAAGCTTTGGTTGTAAAAAAAATGATATCTGATAAAAATTACAAATTTTTATTACCTTCAGCAGACTTTGGGTTAGTGCGGCGTGACCGTACGGTTACACTTGAAGGACGACTAAGGTCGGTTCCAGTTCGCCACACCACAACTTCAGCCTCTCTTTGACTCTCATCAACAGTGTACTGTGCATGCTCAAAGTGGAACACTGGTTCTGAAAACAGAGGATCATTCATTGGTTTTTAGTTAGAGTTGTCTCCCTTAGATAAGGTTTATCAGATCACAACTGTGGGATAACACTCGTCCACTTTTTAGCATTGTTTCATTAACCTTTAGCAAATGTTTTAGAACACAATGTAAAATATCCACTGCAATAGTCTATGACCTTTATAACAACTATATATATTCAATATACAGAGAACTAAAACATCCCATCACACCTTTATTTATATACATATATATGTATGTATCACATGACTGATCTGTTATTCAGAGAATATCATCCAAGTAAGAATTCGGTATAAGGCCCTATGTTTATATGACTTATTGTGACGCCAGAATTAGACAATGAAATGTCGACACATATAGATTACATAGCAAAGTAACTATGGAGATCATAAATATATATAGTCAAGTCAAATACAAAAAAATACTTTTTCATATATCTGCCAAAATAAATGATTATGAAATAAAAAGGATTTTGAATTTTGAATTTTTAGTAATTCTGATGCCTCAGAATTGTTTTCCTTTTAGCAAGCCTCTTCATAATCACCACAGTAATTAATTAAATGTGTAATATGTCACATGCATATGTAGGTCAACAGGAACCACTGGAATTACTGATTTTGTACAAAAACAGACCAAAATGTCTCAGCCGAACAGAAAACTCTGTGGCCATCTTGAATAACCAGTTAGCAAGATAGTAAATTAATATTCGCCATGTACACAAAGTACCCAAATCCACGAATTGTGAAAAATAACATATAAATAAATAAGGAGTTATATATATATTTCTCTCGGCCAATAACAGTGACAGATAATGACAATGACCAGTGGTCATCTTAGATTTCTGGACTCTAGTGGTCGTAATATCCCCGGAGTTCATATAAAATACCTTTCAAAATACCATACCATAAAATGAACAACGACAAAAAAGCAATAACTTGTTTTTTAGACAATCGATTTTCTGTTCTATTTTTAGGAAATCACCTTGACCTTGACTTTTAGGAATTTCTTGAAATGCCTATTGTTTATAGATATGATTAAAACATTCGATATTTATTCTATTTTTGTTGTTGTTTTTATCTCCAAACTATCGTAAATGACTGACGACTCTTACATATAACTAATTGAAGGGAGGTAATCCAATATGGCGGACGCAGAACTCGGGAATGGTAACCCCAAGAATGGCATGTTCCTGCGTATAATGCCCACCCTCTTCCTGACACAACAATTTTAGCTTGAAAAAGTGTGCACTATATGCGGAAATTTACGGTATTTGATAAAGGATCATATAAAATTTCGGTAACCTTCAATTTATTTTTAATAAAATGTCTATAAAAACTAAATGGGGAGAGAGGACTGGATGAACAGACAGATGGACAATAATTATGACAGGGGGCATCTATCACAGAGGTCCACAATTAGTAACTTAACATCATAATTAGTAATTAAATATAAATTTTAATTGATATCATCAGAACTATATCTGACACACATCACAATTATGTATATTTCACACGTGTACAGAAATTCGGTTTTGCTTCAATGTAAATATACGAGTTAAACAGCAGGAATTTCTGCATACATGCCGAAGCTCTTCCTACCGCAGTAATTTGCCAAATATTGTCTGTTTCTTTCATCTATGATAGCAATGAATTTAACAGTTTTTCTAGAACGTCATTCCAACATAACTTTTATGATAAGCAATGGCCAGTATTACCCCAGCTTGTGGATTAGATAATAACCATTGCTCAAGAAATAAATTTTTTAATGCAGAGTTTCCTGAAATTCAATTTTTTCCTCATAACATTTATCATTTTCAGTAATTTGTAGCTAACACTTAACACAGACCAAATGGTTGGCCTTTTTTTATGTCAGAACCAAGTACCACTTAGAAACAAACGAAACATAATACAAAGAGGTCTGCTCTGTGGCTTTTATCTTACAATAAATGGTACATATTACTGTTCTGTTCAGTGAATATATCTTTATCAGAGAAACATAAGGATGATTTCTTCTTTCACACATTCATCGCAGAATTATATCACTACTAGAAAAAAAACGGGTGAAAAAAAAGACATTTTTGCCCCCTTGTTCTAGAGGAGCTAAAAGTTCTGTGTTATGAAGGTAAGGAGATATTTTATAAGTTGGGGTTACATATGCCGGGAGGGGGTAGTATCGTCTGTGGAGAAGGGGAGGAGAAGGCCACTGTTATCCTGTTGCCAACATCTCCGACATATATTACTATACTTATATACACAGATATCACATTCTCATTGTCAGGTAGATACCGTGATAACACAAATATGAACAGTATTTGGGATGGAATTTCCTGAGTGGAATCACCAGACAAGTCATTAGATAGACAGAACGTTACGCTGTCAGTGAAAATAGACAAACCAATGGATAGACAGAACGTTACACTCAGTGAAAATAGACAAACTAATGGATAGACAGAATGTTACACTGTCAGTGAAAATAGACAAACTAATGGACAGACAGAACGTTACACTCAGTGAAAATAGACAAACTAATGGACAATGGACAGACAGAAGAATGTTACACTGTCAGTGAAAATAGACAAACTAATGGAAAACCAATGACAAAAATAATGGATAGACAGAAAAATAGACAAACCAATGGATTACACTGTCAGTGAAAATACACTGTCAGTGAAAATAGACAAACCAATGGACAGACAGAACGTTACACTGTCAGTGAAAATAGACAAACTAATGGATAGACAGAATGTTACACTGTCAGTGAAAATAGACAAACCAATGGATAGACAGAACGTTACACTGTCAGTGAAAATAGACAAACTAATGGATAGACAGAACGTTACACTGTCAGTGAAAATAGACAAACTAATGGATAGACAGAACGTTACACTGTCAGTGAAAATAGACAAACCAATGGATAGACAGAACGTTACACTGTCAGTGAAAATAGACAAACTAATGGATAGACAGAATGTTACACTGTCAGTGAAAATAGACAAACCAATGGATAGACAGAACGTTACACTGTCAGTGAAAATAGACAAACCAATGGATAGACAGAACGTTACACTGTCAGTGAAAATAGACAAACTAATGGATAGACAGAACGTTACACTGTCAGTGAAAATAGACAAACCAATGGATAGACAGAACGTTACACTGTCAGTGAAAATAGACAAACCAATGGATAGACAGAACGTTACACTGTCAGTGAAAATAGACAAACCAATGGATAGACAGAACGTTACACTCAGTGAAAATAGACAAACTAATTGATAGACAGAACGTTACACTGTCAGTGAAAATAGACAAACTAATGGATAGACAGAACGTTACACTGTCAGTGAAAATAGACAAACCAATGGATAGAAAGAACGTTACACTGTCAGTGAAAATAGACAAACCAATGGATAGACAGAACGTTACACTGTCAGTGAAAATAGACAAACTAATGGATAGACAGAACGTTACACTGTCAGTGAAAATAGACAAACTAATGGATAGACAGAACGTTACACTCAGTGAAAATAGACAAACTAATGGATAGACAGAACGTTACACTGTCAGTGAAAATAGACAAACTAATGGATAGACAGAACGTTACACTGTCAGTGAAAATAGACAAACTAATGGATAGACAGAACGTTACACTGTCAGTGAAAATAGACAAACTAATGGATAGACAGAACATTACACTGTCAGTGAAAATAGACAAACCAATGGACAGACAGAACGTTACACTGTCAGTGAAAATAGACAAACTAATGGATAGACAGAACGTTACACTGTCAGTGAAAATAGACAAACTAATGGATAGACAAACTAATGAAAATAGTGACAAACTAATGGAAGACAGAACGTTACACTGTCAGTGAAAATAGACAAACTAATGGATAGAACACACTGAAAAATAGTTACACTGTCAGTGAAAATAGACAAACTAATGGATAGACAGAACGTTACACTGTCAGTGAAAATAGACAAACTAATAGGATAGACAGAACGTTACACTGTCAGTGAAAATAGACAAACTAATGGATAGACAGAACGTTACACTGTCAGTGAAAATAGACAAACTAATGGATAGACAGAACGTTACACTGTCAGTGAAAATAGACAAACTAATGGATAGACAGAACGTTACACTCAGTGAAAATAGACAAACCAATGGATAGACAGAATGTTACACTCAGTGAAAATAGACAAACTAATGGATAGACAGAACGTTACACTGTCAGTGAAAATAGACAAACTAATGGATAGACAGAACGTTACACTGTCAGTGAAAATAGAACAAACGTTACACTGTCATGAAAATAGACAAACCAATAATGGATAGACAGAACGTTACACTGTCAGTGAAAATAGACAAACCAATGGATAGACAGAACGTTACACTGTCAGTGAAAATAGACAAACTAATGGACAGACAGAACGTTACACTGTCAGTGAAAATAGACAAACTAATGGATAGACAGAATGTTACACTCAGTGAAAATAGACAAACTAATGGACAGACAGAACGTTACACTGTCAGTGAAAATAGACAAACTAATGGACAGACAGAACGTTACACTGTCAGTGAAAATAGACAAACTAATGGACAGACAGAACGTTACACTCAGTGAAAATAGACAAACTAATGGATAGACAGAACGTTACACTGTCAGTGAAAATAGACAAACTAATGGATAGACAGAACTTTACACTGTCAGTGAAAATAGACAAACTAATGGATAGACAGAACTTTACACTGTCAGTGAAAATAGACAAACCAATGGACAGACAGAATGTTACACTGTCAGTGAAAATAGACAAACTAATGGACAGACAGAACGTTACACTGTCAGTGAAAATAGACAAACCAATGGATAGACAGAACGTTACACTGTCAGTGAAAATAGACAAACTAATGGATAGACAGAACGTTACACTGTCAGTGAAAATAGACAAACTAATGGATAGACAGAATGTTACACTGTCAGTGAAA